CTGCCATTACTTTCTCAAATTTTCTCTTACCCCTGCTTGTGATCAGCTAAGTATTTAACATTTCTCTCCAAATACCCACTCTTTTACAAAAATATAAGCTACAGTTTAGATATTGTATGTTTAAGGACAGAATCCATGATTACCTCAACAAATCTAAGATAACCATGATTTTCTTCTATGACTCAAGATAAAATTATAACTCTGATTTCAGATATGATATATTTGAAATTAAGCATATCCAGTTCTCAATCTATCATGAGCATGTGGGATTGAACAGCTGTTAAAACTTGTAGAAATGAAAATGAACACATTGGTTGGTAAGTGCTTTCTTTTCTTAGTTCCTGAAATTCTGTTTTTTTTAAGAGGAAAAGAAATGAGTAGAAAGTTGACAGTGGTGTAGTACCAGCAATTGCCAATGGCAATGGGGCATCATTACAAATTCTTTTCCATTATTTCAGAGAAGTTAAAAAAAAAATAAATATGGAGTGATTTCATTTCAGGAAGGAAGAACCAAAGTGAAGATCAATGTAAAAACAGAGAATGTAGCATATACAGGAGTAAAATTGAATAGTACTTGCATCATCCTTTTGCAGAAATTTTTGACAATTGTTGAATAAGGTTCAGAACTAAACTCTCATTTGCCTTTTGCTTTAATGTAGTCTTAAGGAAACAAAGACTTTAATTTCTGCTGTACAACAATCACAGTAATGGTTAATGCATCCTAATCTTATGGGTACTGACTTTCTAAACCAGTGGCTGCAAAAGCCAGTCTTTCTCTTAGTGAAGAAAGCATTTATGTTGACTGTGCCATGGTGGAGGCTACAGCACACTTTTTGTCCCTTCACTTTAAGAAGCAATGTAACATAAAAGAAAACAAAACAAAACAAGAAAGTTGTTTTATATGCCAGAATATTAAAATCGGGCATAAATTTTGTGCTTTCAATAGGTGGATAATATAAGATTCCTGGATTCTGTAGATAAAAATGGAGACTGGAAGGAATGTCAGCAGTTTATCAGTACCAACAGACTAAAGAAATATGTTTTCATCTTCTTTTGCATTCATGCCTGATGATCAGCCTCTCAGTGTGATTTATGATGCCAAGAATCCGGGTCATTCTGTCTTAGTTAAGTACCACCTTCTCCTTTGTGCTCCTATTCAAATCACTCACTGCAATATCATCAAAATGGTTTAGACATGCAGCTAGGTAGTTAGTTGAATTTGTTATTTCAGGAAAGAACAAGAAGTTACTAGATGTGTGCAGAGTCTTTATGTAAGCAGTCATAAAATGGACCCAACATCACTTCTTCTTTTAGCTATGCCCTCTTGAGTCCTCTGAGCCTGGTCTTCTTGCTTCTGAAAAGCAACTAGTGGCTTTGAGTGCCTTAACAGAGCACTGGCAGAAAAGGAAGAATTTTGGGCATATACACATTCACGGCACATCAAATTCTGCAGCCCTTTGTGTTGTAATAAATATCGAGTCACTTGAATGCAGGTAGAAGAATTTGTCTAGTTTTATATCCATTAAACAGTGAGACTTGGTGCAGCCTGTAGGTTATTTAGCTTCCTTTTACCTGAATTAAGCTCTTGGACCTGGTTTAATTACAACACTGCTTAAAGTTACAAGGCCCAGTGATACCTCTGTACTTTTCTCTTTGGACTAAGATACATTGTTACAAAGTATGCAGAAAAAAATGTGTCTGTCACTCTATCTACATTGGACATTTTCTGGACATACCCAGATTAGCCTGTCATATTATTGTTAGGCTGTGATGGCATACTTCATTTGCTGCAGCCCATGAATATGAAACGAAAGGGTCAAGCTGTATTAGTGCCGACTTTTGTCTTCCTGACTTTTTTTGACTTTGAGGTAGATGTTTAGTGCTTTTCAGTATATTATCTGAAGATTGCCTGTGGGAGATGTTCTCTTTAGCTCTTTCTTCCTATATTGAATCTTCATTACACTAACAATAACAAACATATTTTTACACTCACATAACATTATTCAGAGCAGTGTAAAATGCTGAATGGGCCTTGTATCACTTCCATTTCTCAGCCCTGGCTATATAGATCCCTCATAGTTATAACAGAAACTCTCACTATTGAGTTAAAGAGAAGAATGACAAAAGTATCTGTTCAGTTAAGAAATGCTGATATTTTAAAATGGCAGTGACTGCTTTTCTATAGCAACCTACTAAATATCTATTGTTAAGAAATAAATTAAATTCTGTAGTGTGCTTCAGGATAGAAGGAGTTAAGTAGAGTGCTATCTACCTTTCAAAAAAAATGTTGTGGAAAAAATATTAATCAGAGTCAATCTTTCTTATATTAGTTACTGAGCTCTTAAAAAATAGCTGTATGCAGATTTCCCAATAATTTTGCAGTGTCATGTTTCCCTCTTGCTGTAAATGTATTTCACAACAGTCTGTGAGCATGACAGTAAAATTTCTTTCTTGCCAGTAACTATACACTGGCTCTCTAATATTGGATAAAATTTGATACAATTACCTATGGTTAACAGAACTTCTCTCTTCAAATAGTAATGAAGTCGATGTACCACTCAGTATGAACAAATTAATCAAAATCATCCCCATGTCTTTCAAATACAAAAGTGGTTAATAACAATAAATTTGTATTCAACCACATTTCAGTGCTCTAGGCTGGATATACATTGCTTACATGTAATTTAACCACACAGCAGTCTTGTGCATGCATACGGAGTTGGCATGATTTTTAAGAAGGCTAGATTTTTTCATCTGACAGTATGAGATTGTGTTGATTTGGTATCATAAAAAGACTATCGCTATCTATGACACCTCCTTTCTGCTTTTCTGAGGTCTCACAACTGATGTCTCCCTTTCTTCATCTGAAGTTGCTCCTCAACGTTGCACAGAGCTCAAAGCTCTTCTTCCTTGTGCTCACATGGGTATTTTTATTGATAGAGAGTGAGTGTAAAAGGGAAAATAGAATCATACCAGAGCTGGAAAATCAGGCCCAGATTTTCACAAGTAAATAAAAGTAAATATGGTTTCTCAGGAGTTAACTGCTGTTCATCAAACTTTCACCAGTAATTACTCTGTAGCAAGTGACTGTTAAATTGAAATTAAGCCTAACGGATTCTTAGTACACTGTTTGTTGCTCCAATAAATGAGTTTCATGTCTGATGCATACAGCATTAATCTGTGCTTCATCATTAAAAAAAACAAAACGACTTCATAAAATGGGTTATATTTTAATCTGTTTAATTTTTAAGTTTTTTATTATTTGGATTGTCTATACTTGATCTGAGTAATCTTTACTCAAAGAAAAAAATAAAGATTAAGTTATTCTATTTTTTTTTGGGGGGGGTTGGGTAGTTGGGGATTTTTATTTGGTTCGTTTGTTTATTTCTGTGCTTTTACCTTTGGTTTTTTTATAGGGACCTTCCATGTTATAACCAACTAGCTCTCAAATAACAAATGTCCAGTAATCAGGCACTAAAGATGGACTGAAGACAAAAACATTACAGATTCAATTACATATCTAAAGATATTTAGTGGATTAGTTGTGTGCACGTGTTGGCTGCAAAGCAGTGTAGTCTTTAGCTACATTCTTCGTAAATTTGTGACTACTACATTAATTTAACATAGAACGGAACAGAAACCAGCATTTTCACTTTATGGTCAAATCTGCTACTTTGAAATCTGTGAGTACAGTGGAAAATAGGCAATATATAAATTTATCCGAAAGGAAAGCTAAGGTGAAATTATGAATTTAATTCAACTGAATTCTTTTTTTTTTCCTAATAACTTTCAGGTTTTCTGGAAGTGCTAAAAAATGAAAGTGGCTTCACTTCAGAGATAGAGAACTGAAGGTAACTTTTAAATACATTTTCAAAAAACATACAGAGAGGTAAAATTGTTGTAGTACGTGCATCATCTTTTCTAACAGCAATAAGAATACTCATATGAATAATCATATTTTTACCACCTGTAATTAAATTTGCTTATCAAAATGTTTTCCTAATAATATGCCTGTAAGATGAAAGCAATTTCACAATAGATATGCTGTGGAATTTCCTGAATTCCCAGTTTTGATTTTGATGGCATGGCATTTGCTAGGAGAAAAATGATGCATCAGAATGTACTAGGTTAGCTTCCATTATAAATATTTAAGCTAGATTGTTACCTCTTGCCTTACACTGGGCCCTCAGTGTGAACAGAAGTAACCCAGAAACCCTTAAACTTGCAAAGTTTGTTTTCCAGAGAATTTTTGATCAGTTAAATATGTCCAAATTTTTTATCCTGTCCATCCCTGTAGTGCCATCATGCAGTGGGCAACAGCTGCACCTCCTGTATATTCACATGTCTTTGCATAACTGTGAATTTTACAGTATCAGAGCAGAATCAGACATATTCGTTATAGGTTACTTGAACAGTGCTGTACAGAATATCCCAATCAAAATGTATAGTAGCTGTTCTAAATCTCACACATGGAGAAACCATCTGGTGTATCTAAGGTCTGTTTAGATTTTGAAGTCAAGTTCCTTATGAAGATAAGATCAATACTAAAAGCAGATTAATTTCACCAAATGTTAGAGATATGTAAGTTAGGCGACTGGTGTAACTTAGGAAGAAACACTCCTGGTGGGTGTTTTATTTAATTAATCATGCACAGCCATCTTAAAATGAGCAGAGTCATTCACTGACATGCCCCTTTGCCCACCCTCCACATGCTACAGGGAAAATCTAAGCTTCAATTAGAGAGCTAAACTTAGGTGGATAAAACCAGTAGAGGTAAAATCCATGTATAGGAATTTAAGGCTTTTTCCTTCTTCTGCCCAGAAACTTACTCTTCAGCTTTTAGGAAATAAGGAGAGAGCAGGAGGAATAGAGCCAGAAAGAAGGTGGAATATATGAGCACCACACTCCTCCTAGTCACAATTCCTGGTTACCTTGTTGACTTAGCCTCCTTTTGCATGCTGGTAAGCAATCACATGAAAGCTCAAAATGCTTTACCATACCTGATTGTGGACTTTGTTTGGGGATTTTGGCTGCTGCTTCAGGGATGGATGTGGCACGCACACGCTGATTGGCAGAGTTATGGATACTACTTGGAACAGCTGCTGAGATGTTTTTGCGAGGTTTCATGTCTTGTAACCACATTGGAGATGCCTCAAAGGCTTGCATTCGCCGAGAGTGGCTGTTAGCATTGACTTTGAGAAATGCCTGGGCCTTGTATTCCTGAAGGTCTCCATAGTTGGCATCGGTCACCCTGCACTCATACAAGCCTTCATCCTTTTTTCTTACTTTTGAAATCTGCAGCTTGTGGGAGATGTCATTCCCTTGTACTTTCACTGTCTGCAAATATGCCAGAAAAAAAACCAAAAACATCTTTTCAGGTATTATTCTTTCTCTGGGAAGACTCTACTGATGTAGAGCCTGTCCAGAGAAGTCAAGCACCAAATTGATCAGTGGTGTGATTGTGCTTACTGCAGGGAAGTTGCATCAAGAATGAGTATGATTATTTGTATCCATGAGGATGTCTGACATCTTCTTTCCAAAACTGTTTAGATCGTGTGCCCTGAAATGTTAATTGGTCTCAACCAACAAACAACCCAACAACCTGGCCTGGTTGGACAAACAACCCAAACTACCCTGTTCATTCCAATGAATTGTTTCAGATAATGAGAATTGCTAATGAGCTTTCTTACATAAACCTAATATCTGTGTACTTCATTAGTTAAACTTTTCCAGTTAGCTGGCTTTATGGAATAATTAACTTTTTTTAACTAGTTCATTAACAATTTTGTTGGAGACATTTGCCAATATTTAAACTTCTTGAATAAGAATTTATTAGATTAACTTGTAATCTTCACTACATTGAAACTGAATATTTGACATTCAGTTTGTCTCCTTCAGGCATGTCCAAACCCTTAGTACTTTCTGTACACATTTTGTGTCAGGTAGTTCCTTTTTTTCTCATTTATATAAGTTTGTACTTATTGAAAGTCACATATAATTTCTGCAGCACATACTCAAGTAGCACGTATTCAAGATAATTTTTAAAGTTGTCAGCTGAAATAAGACTCCCAATTTATTTTTAATTGCTTTTAATATCTGAGAGTAACATAGCATATTTTGGCATTGAATAATTAAAACACAGGAGTAAATTATGCATCCAGAAATGTGTGATAGGTATTAAGAGGCATTAGGAAAGGTAACACAAATTATTTTCTGTATGTTCATCACTTTAGAGAGTCTATCTTTAATTAACTGGCTATTATTCTCTATCTGGATTAATATCTGTTGCCCCACAGGAAGCCAGTTAAAAAGGATTCAGTGGTACAGAAAATTTCAGCTTTGAAGAACAACTGGACCTGGTTTACTTTCACCACTACATAAAATGGATGCAAATGGTGCTTTGTGTCCTATCAGTGACAGACAGTGAGGAAACATCAGGATGATAAATATATCATAGATCACAAAAATGGAAAACTGTTAGATTGAAACTGGGCAGGTGTTATTGTTGATTATACAACATATTGTTCCTGATAGCTTGGCATGCTGTAGTCACCAGCATTGTCAAAGCACCTATTCTGCCAGCTCAATAAATTGAAGAGCAATACTTGTGAATACATTATTGCTTTAAGGTACTGGATGGACTTTGCAGTTGGTTCTGTTGTATTCAGCACTGAATTTATACTTGGCAAACTGAGTTGGAAGTATGGATTGCATACTTTCAGGCATAACATATGCAATATTGATTACACATAATATGCTGGGTAGTTATTTAAACCATATTCAATAATAATAATATATCTCCACTGAACAGCTCACATTCAGCCAAAGGATTAAAGAAGTTTCATATGAATGGAAGGAGGATCTGTGGGTTCTATTCTGCCTTCATTTGCTCCCATGCAGTATCTGCAAAGTTAAGAGTATTGCACACAAATAATGAAAAATAGAATTTGGTTTGGGGTTTGCATTTGAAATTTAGATATTGCTGCAATCAGCATGTATGGATGCTTTCCATTTATGCCTGATTATAATTTAAAACCATTGGAAACAGTGTATTTCAAGACAGTTTAAAAACATGTTTAGTATATTTTACCATTTCTTTAAATAATTTACTAAATGCAGGTAAAAAATTTGTTCTCCTCTTCATGAAGATACTTTCCAGTAGTACTAATGGAGGCTCTATGGGTGCCTTCAATATAGGGAAAAAAAAAAAAAAAAAAGGAAGGCTACATTTGTAACAAGTGTATTTTGACTGTCAACCTAATGTTCACTTTTTTATTGCATATATAAAATTGGGATTTTTTGCAAGCTTATAAAGATGCTTTTTTTGTGAATTATTATCATACATGATGAGAGAAAGACTTTTAACTTGAAAGATGGGACAAGCTTTACATGCTTGTCACAAATCTTATGGATTACTACAAGGATTTTAAATGAGCCAATACTGATAAGGAATAAATTGGCTGCTAGCACTATGTCTAGTGGACTAGTATCCAAAGACCACGTGTCTCATTCGTAAGACAGTCTACAAATGTAACTGAAGATATGGTCCATGACACAAATCATTTATAGTGTACTCTGTGAAGTTTCATAAGAAATTTAAGTAGGGCTAGAATATGTATCATTTTGAATACAAGGCACTTAGCACTTTGACCTGATGGTTAGCTACTTACAGGCATCATAAAGCAGCAGAGATGATTCACCTCTATCTGCTGCTGTTTCAAGCTCTGCTGTTGCCTACAGCCTTGCTTATAGCCTTGGTGGCACTTGGTGACTGAAAAAGGGAAGCCCCCTTTCAGCTGTTGAGGAATATTCATGCAGCACTAAGTATCTGTGTCCGTTCACTGCAGTGAGCACCACACCATGACCCCACCATACATTCCTCGGGACCCTGAAGGAGGGGGGTCTGAGTCCAGGGCATCCTTTCCCTAGGCAAGGGTTGGCACAATGTTGCTCATAATTTTGTTGGGATAATGTTCTGGTTTAACCTCCCAATGGCAGATTGGTAACTCTGGTGTCAGAACCCAGTTTCCTAAGAGAGAGACTCAGTGGCCAAGAGTGGAGATTACTCCCAACACAGAGGTCTTGTCCCTAGACATTGGTGATTTTTTGTTTTCTCTTTCTGTCAGCAGACCCGAACCTGGGAAATCACATCTTTGCACAGCCCACTGAAGGAACATGCAGCTTCACAGCCAAATTTCAGCCTTAACATCAGCTACGGGGAGCTAACACAAGACTCAGCTGTGGCTGAGGGCACGTGGAAACACTAAATGCAAGGATGGGTGCAGGCTGTCTTTTTCACGGGCTGGAATCAGAGTCCGCCGAAGGTCTGTGCCTCGCTTGCCGATGCCTCCCCGCGCAGGGCTCCCCCGGGGGGCAGGCTGGGGGGGCACGGCCGTCCCGGCACCGCCTGGCTAACACTTCCCGCTTCAGCCGAGGCGCGGAAGGGGAGGGGATGAGCGGGCAGGGAGCAGCCCAGCCGCGTTCCGCCGTGCCAGCCCCGGGGCGGCCGTGGGCAGAGCCCGGGCTGAGCTCCGGCTGCCCAGGGACCCGCGGGGCTGGCGGGGGCTGCCCGCGCCTTGCGGAGACACTTACGCTGATCTTGGTGCCGTCGCTGTCCAGGTCCCGCTCGGGCAGCAGCTCCACCTGAGGGGAAAGCAGCGTGGGTGTCCGGCCCTCGCCCGCCAGGCTCTCCGCGGGTCCCCGCCCCTCGGCCCCCGCCGGGCCCCCCGGTGCCTCCCGCAGCCCCCGAGCGGCGCGCCGCGCCTGCCCCCTGCAGGCCGCGCCGGGCACAGCGGGCACCGGGCACCCCCGGAGCGGGGCAGCCCCGCCGCCCCACGGACCTGCCCTGCCGCCCTCCCCACCGGCGGGAGAGGCTTTTCCGGGCGACCGGAACGGAGGTGGCAGCAGAGGAGGGGAGCAGAGTCCCTGGATGGCGGTGTTAAGTGGAAGTTGCCCTCTCTGCGCTGTTGTATCATGTATTTATTTATTTGTTTGTTTGCTGCTCTGAGTCATTCTTTCCTCCCCGGCTCTCCCCCTTCCCCCACTCCATCCATCCCTCCCTCCCCCCCTCCCTCCCTCCCGGTGTGTGCCCTCCCGTGGCAGCTGCACGCGGAGATCGTGCTGCCACCAGCCTTGCTGCACCAGCTGTACATTGGAGGGCACGTGTAGGCCCCTGCCATTTGGGAAAGACAAGACTCCCTTCAAGGAGCAGTCTCTGAACAGCTGCTTTCCAAAGGGAAAATGAGAGAGAGAAATAAAGAAGAAGAAAAAAAAAAATGGGGGCTTTTGAAATCCATGTGATTTTGTGAATGTGTCCCTAAGTGTATCCTGAGAGTGACAGGCACCAAAGGCACCATCCCTTAAGGTGGGAATTTTTCTCTCCAGGTTCTTGCACTGTTATTTTGTGGTCAAAATTCAGTCCCTGGCGAGGTCCAGAACCTCCCTTCACTCCCTCCCTCTCCGCCTTCTAATTTCTGCCCTTCTCTCCCTTCCTTTCCATCCCTTCTCCTGTGGCATTCCCAGGTGGTTTGCAGACCTGATGGCAGGGGATCAGTACCTGAGTGCCTGTCACCTCAGCTGCAGCCTCTTGGTCCTCAGCTGCCCGCAGAAACCACCACTGGATTTCCAGGTACACCGAAGTGGAGCCACTTTGAAAAGCACAAGACATCTCCACATTCTGCCCTTCAGTGGCTGTGACATTTCGGGGAAACTCAGTGAATTTTGCTGCAAAACAGATACATAACATGTTGAGATCTCTTCTTAACTACTAACTGTTTATTCTCTGCTTTTTGCACTGCTTTTTTTTTTTTTTTTTTTCTTCTCTGTTTGGTGTTTTGTTTTGTTGTGGTTTGTTGTTTTTTTTTCCTTTCTTATTACTCTGTTTTCTTTTTCTCATTCCCTCTCTTTTCTGATTTTCTAGTTTCCCCACATATTAGCAACCTGGTTTCTCTCCCACCCAAGTATGCCTTTCCTCCCTAATGCACAAATCCACCTTCTATACACTCTAAGCTCTGCTAATGGAAATGCTGTAGACCCCCCTGCTCACTCCCATGGGCTAGGAAGGTTTCATGTAATTAGGTTCAAATACCCTTGAGCAGAATGCAGTATTTCACCAGACTCACTGAGGGATTTTGTGCAAGACCAGTTTGGAAGAGGGAAAAAAACCCCAGACTGATTTAATTAATTATTTATTTATTACTTATTTATTTATTTGGTAGGGCTGAGCTGGAAGTGTGTAAATTGTTAAACCTTCCACAGCTGGAGGAGCCGTTGGGCACTCTTCTGAGGTGTGGGTTATGACCACTCATTTAAATGCCCATTTCAAAGGCTTTACCTGAGTTCGTTACTCTTTCTGAGAACATCTGCTTCCATAATCAGACTGAGAAACAACACACCTTCTGTTTCTCAGTCGTGGCAGACACTTTCTAGAACTAACCTTCACCTTTTTATCCCAGCCCCTTAGCAAATAGGGTCTATGCATTTCACTAAACCACTTCTAAGGTTTAAAAACTAATCCTGATGGACGTAGTCCAGGGCTTCAGTATTTCTTTAGCTTCCTTCTCATCTTTTTGTATCATTCACTTTAAAATCATGCAACATAGTGAAATGTGATAGACAAGCGAGGCGAGCTACAGACAAATAATGTAGTAAATAAAACCTGTGTTTCAAGAAGTGGAAACTATGGAAAGACCTTGCAGTGCTGCTTTCTGTTATGTACTGTTACAGAGTGTGTTATGATACGAAAGAAATACTGCTTGCCATCTCCTCCCCTCTCATTTTTCCCAGATAACCTGGAGCCGGTGGGATTAGCAATACACTCTACCAGTGGTAATTCTTTTACCCTTATGTTTGTGCTTGGCAACAGATACTTAGAAAAGCTACTATCTTTATATTCCTTAGTGTCCCTTCTACTGCCCTCCCACCCCCACCAGTCGGTGATTGCCAGTCATCGAGCTAAACTGACAGACTGTGCATTTTGTGTATTGGGAGCTTGTAAGTTTGTGATGTTTTGTTTCTTTCCTGCTTGTTTATTCCTTCCCTCCCTTCCTGATCAGTGCGTACGAGTGGTGTGGGTCCACGGAGGGGCACTCTGCCAGCACCCTCCCCGATCGCACCGCCGGCGGGGAGCGCCGAGAGGGAACAGCGGGCAGAAAGCAGGGGAGCGGTGGCCGGGGGAGGCAGGAGGGGCCAGCGGGCGGCAGCGGGCAGGGGGGAGCGGGCAGGG